CAAAAAAAAAAAAAAAAAAAAGATATGAACAGGCTCAAAAAACCAAATTAAGATATAGAAATCAATATACTTACTTCATAAAATAGATTTAGCATTTTGCTTTTATTTGTCCTGCTCAAGAATAGTTTAAGACATTGAAAGGCCAGGTGTAGTGGCCATACCTGTACCTGCAGTGTTTGGGATGTAGATGCAGGACGATCAAGGGCATTGTCAGCTACATACTGAATCTGAGGCTAGCCTGAGCTTCGTAAGAGATGGCTCAGTAGTTGAGGACATGCTGGGAAAACCACGAGGGCCTAAATTCAAACCCTGGTACCCATACCAAGCTGGGTCTTATGCACACCTGTGACCCCAGTGCTGCCGTGGGCAGAGATGGCAGAGTGGGGACTTAATGCCTGCCAGCCTAGCACAAACACGTAAGGTCAGAGTTCAGGAAGGGACCCTGCCTCAAAGGAATAAGGGAAAGAACAATACAAGAGGACACCCCGTTACGCTCTTTTGTCCTCTGCGGGAGACACTCCAAATAATGGGAAAAGCCAATCTTTAAAAAGTGTGTGTGTGTGTGTGTGTGTGTGTGTGTGTGTGTTGCACATGTATGTGGAGGGAGATAAGAGGACAATTTACAGGAGTCAGCTCTCTCTTTCCAGCATATGGATTCCAGGGAACAAACTCAGGTCGTCAGGCTTGGTGGCAAGTGTCCTTATTCACGTAGCCATCTCACTGGCCCAGGAGAAGCAATTTCTAAAAACAACTTAAAAATCTTGATCTCAGTGACAGAGTGGTGCCTAGCATGCACTACACCTGGGTTCAATCCCTGGTACTTACAAAATAAACAAAAGTAACAAAATACATCAATAACAATAAAAATAATCTCAAGGGCTGAGATTAAATGTGTGTGCCACCACGCCCAGCAGTTTCTGTAATTTTTAGAAAATGGTAGAAATGGTTTATGAAGATAAAGAAGAGAAAGGCGCTTCTGAGAGCCGACGTGAGCCTGAGCGCTCAGCAGGCCCAGGCTCAAAGGCCAGTGTGTCTGTGATTCTTAGATGGTAACTCACCTGTTCACACTTGATGCCCGGATGGTTTGTTGGGCTGATTTTCTATTTTTAAAAATCTATTTCATATAATTTTTTCAATTAAAGAAATTTCTTCCTCTCAACTGAGTGTGCCACAGCGCACACTTGTAATCCAACCCCATTGCTGGAGATGGAGGCAAGAGGACCTGGATTTCAAGGCCAGGCTCTGCTCCAGGAGAAGTTCAAGGTCAGTCTGAGTACATGATATCGTCTCAAATATACACTCTTTTAGTTTGTGCCGTCTCCTCTCCTTTTTTCTAGGGTGGTTTGGCTAGAAAAACTGCTGGTTTTGATTGTTATTGTTTTCATACACACACACACCCCACGAGAGAGAGAGAGAGAGAGAGAGAGAGAGAGACAGAGAGAGAGAGAGA